CGGCCCGGCGCGCCACCTCCCGCCCCTTAACTTCTCAACCCCCGCGCCGCGCCGGGCCCTGAATGGCTCCTTTGACGCGCGGTGGCCGACTCGGGCCGTGGTCGCGGCCTCGGCAGTGGCGAAGGCGGTGGCGTTCGGTCGCTGCGAGCTTTTTTTTTTTTTTTTTTTTTTGCCGTGGTTCTAATTGCCCTAACTCTTCATCGCATCATCATCATCGCCCTTCCAGACCTGCGGGTGCACACGGCCTGAAGCGCAGAATTCCCTGATCCCTGGCCAAGGAGCTGAAAATTTCAGCCTGCTGCTAAAAGGGAGAAAAAAGTTCCAAGGTCCAATTGTGGCAGTTAGTTGTTTTGTTTTGTTTTGTTGTTTTTCCTAAGAATTTACTCACTTAAACTTAAGTACTTACTTAAATCCTGTACTCTTTCTTTTATCCAGCAAGAACCAACTTAAATTTCTTCAGGTGCTAGATGACGTATTTAGCTTAGAAGGATGCTCTGTAAACGTTTAAGTAAAAACAAACCCCGTTTGGCATTTGGTTACTGCCGGTCCTCTCTCTCCACGCCTCCATCCCTTGTTTTACTTTGGCGAGATAATATTATCAGTTTGCTGTTTATTTTGTGCTTTCCCTAAGGTCTAAAGTTAACACATGCCCTGTTAAAACTCCTACAGTACTTTAAAGGGAGAGTAAAGGTGAGTTTTTTCTTTGCAGAAATAAAAAGCTAATTAAGTTTTTTTAAACGATGAGTTACTAGTAGTAATTTAAAACTGAAGCTAAGTGGTATTTAAAAGTCACCTGAAAACCTAAGATGACTCTCTACATGAGCTGTATTTGTCTGCTATTTCAGACTATTAGGAAACAAGGACTGATATAACTATAACAAATATAATTTTAACCTCTAATTTTGTAAGTTTACCATAATATAATAATATTTGAACATCTAATAGTTGTGTAATTCACTTAAATACACAGATTATTTTGCTTAAAAATCAACTAAAGAACATGCTACCATCTTTAATTTTGCATAATTTTTAATTTATTTGGTATAACAGAGTTGAATTTAAGAAAAACTTTCATAGTTGGCATGGTTTAAAGTCAGAATACGATTTTTGAAGGTGGGTCTGTTTTTTGGTTTTTTTTTCTTTTTTTTTTCCCTACACAGGTGTGTGTGCAAACACATGCACACACACACACATTTTGGCCTATAAAAAATATCTGTTGGATTGGGTTGAGCTGACTTGAGTAGACTTAAAGAGTTGAGTTGATCTACAAGGCAAGACATGCAGAATTACCGTAATGGCATTACTTTCTGTAATGTATATCTTATAGTTCTGCTTGCCCATCCATCCTCCCTTATAGAAAGTGAACCTAATTTTCATTCAGGGGACTATCCCTCTCCCACTCACAGTCCAAGTGGTTTATTGGGGCAGACCCCATCCACATACATGGCTCCAGGACCACAGCTAGTCCATAGGAACTCCTTGCACAAATTAGAAAAATGCACCCCTTCCTTCAGGCAAATGAAGCCCAGCACCAGAGCACCAGGCTTGCTCAGAAAATGGCCAGGGTTGCACTTCCTTGTCACTGGGGCTTTGTACACTTCACATCATATGCAGTCCTTCCTGTTTTCAGTGGTAAACATGTGACTGCCATCAGCCTATTCAGTCTGTAGTGGTAAGTTTCAGGAACAGGCCTATGAACCAAGTTGACGTCATGAAAATTAGCCGGAGAACTTTTGCTAAAATTATTAGAATAAAGGCATTCTTGCTTTGTAGTCGCACTGAATAACTCAGGGGTCCCCAGCCCCCAGGCCACATACTGGAACTGGTCCATGACCTGCTAGGAACTGGGCCACACAGTAGGACAGCTGCTCCGCACTGCTCACATTACCACTGAGCTCCACCTCCTGTCAGATCAGCTGTGGCTTTAGATTCTCATAGGAGAATGAACCCTATTGTGAACTGTGCACACAAGGGATATAGGTTGCCAGCTCTTTCTGAGAATCTAAAGCCTGATGATCTGTCACTGTCTCCCATCATGCCCAGATGGGACCATCTAGTTGCAGGAAAACAAGCTCAGGGCTCTCACTGATTCTACATTATGGTGAACTGCATAAGTCTTTCTTTATATATTGCAATGTAATCATAATAGAAATAAAGTAGACAATAAATATAATGCACTTGAATCATCCCAGAATCATACCCTACTCCCAGACCTGTGGAAAAATTGTCTTCCACAAAACCAGTCCCTAGTGCCAAAAAGATTAGGGGCTGCTGGAATAAGTGGTAACATACAGACTTGGGACTGCACTCCACCATCCTGTCATCAATGAGTAACAGTCATCCATAGGAGAGAAAGAGAAGGAGACTGAGTGATTACTAACCATATCATATGAGCACCCAGATACAGCCATATCTAAATCAATCACCTTTTCAGTTATGTAAGCAAATAAATTTTTTTCTTTCTTTTTTTCTTCAGATGGAGTCTCACTCTGTTGCCCATGCTGGAGTGCAGTGGTGAGATCTCGGCTCACTGCAACCTCTGCCTCCCGGGTTCAAGCACTTCTCATGCCTCAGCCTTCTGAACAGCTGGGATTACAGGTACCTGCCACCACACTGGGCTAATTTTTTTGTATTTTTAGTAAAGACGGGTTTTTACCATGTTGGCCAGGCTGGTCTCAAACTCCTGACCTTGTGATCCACCCACCTCAGCCTCCCAAAGTGCTGGGATTACAGGTGTAAGCCACCACGCCTGGCCAAATTCCTTCTTTTAAATAAGTGATTTTTCTGTCATTTCCAGTTTAGTGATTTTTCTGTCATATCCAATTCAAAAAAGTCTTGACCAATAAAATTGCCACAGTAGGAAAAGGTAGATAGCACAGTAAATAGGTATGTAACTGAACTAATGTTGGTGTTTCATATCAGTGTGCTTGATAATTATTTCAGCAACAGGTAAATCAGTTTAAGTCAACTTTTATAAACAACCATTCTATTTCCCCTGTCTTTCGTTCTTCAATATATTATACATTAAAACAAAATATATAAATGAATTATTTTCATTGGGGGTTTGAATGCTTTTCTCTTGGCAGTGCCCATTGTTTAAGACAGTTTGAATACTAAATGAGATGTTCAGACAGAAAGGTGGGAAACTACCCCAGGCATGAATCCCCTTGATATGTTTAACTCTGATTATAAGTGGAATTGGCTTTTAAAAATCTTTTCACACCTATTAAGCAGTCTAATAAATCTGAAACTATACTAGTAAACAAAAGAACAAATCACATAAGTTATAAAACTTAAAGAAAACAGTAATCATTGGATATCAGCAAAATTTTACTAAGAAAAAGTTATACCAAACTACATGTATTTATCATTTGATGACCAACATGGCAGCTTGTTCTTTGTTCCCAGAAATAGTCAAGTGGAAGATAGGAGACGAATCGTTTGTCAGGGATACGGAAGAAATTCTGCCTTGCAAGGAGAAGCTCGGCTGGTTTCTAGGTTTCTTTTAATTTTCACATCTTGTAATTCTTTTCTTGTCGTTATTTAGTTTTTATTTCATAATCATAAACTTAACTCTGCAATCCAGCTAGTTATGGAAGGGAACAAGGAAAACATGGAACTCAAAGGGAACTGTAGCTAGAGCACAGATTCTAGGATACTGCAAGCAAATGGGGTAGAGGGGTGCTCTCCTGAGCTACAGAAGGAATGGTGTGATGGTTGAGATAAAACACAAGTCAAACTTATTAGAGTTGTCCAGAGTCAGCAATGGTGATCTTCTTGCTGGTCTTGCCATTCCTGGACCCATGGCTCCACGGCCTCCATAATATTCATGCCTTCTTTCACCTTGCCAAAGACTACAAGCTTGCCATCCAACCACTGAGTCTGGGCAGTGCAGACGAAGAACTGGGAACCATTTGCGTTGGATCCAGCATTTGCCATGGACAAGATGCCAGGACCTGTATACTTTAGAATGAAGTTCTCGTCATCAAATGTCTCCCCATTATGGCATGTGAAGCCACCACCCTAACACATAAACCCTGGAAGCAAAACCCTTATAACCAAAGCCTTTCTCTCCAATGCTTACAGCATAAAAGTTTTCCGCTGTCGTTGGAAGCTTGTCTGCACACAGCTTGAAGAAGACGTGGTCCAAGGGCTCGCTGTCGATGGTGATGTGGAAGAACACGGTGGCGCTGACTGTGACTGATAGTACAGGGCTCCCGGTGGTGGCGGCGTCCGCAAAGCCTTGAATTTATAATTCCAACACTTTGCACATAGCGGCTATGAACTTTCCCCCAAATTAATTACTATCTTCTCATCTCTTTAGGATGTTGTCACCCCCCTCACTTATCATTCATGATGGTCATTACATTACTTTGAACTGCATTTAGTTGAACCTGAAAAAATTAAATTTTGTTTTCAAAAAAGTATAACAACCTGAATTGTTTCCAGTTTTATCCCAAAGCTAAGTTCCTGTTGCTGTTTTTATTTAAAAATATAAGAAGAGAGGATTTAGATATGAGTGAAAATTAAGAGAAACTGCAATTCATTTTTTCTAGTTCTCGTTCTTTGTTATTATTGGCTACAGTATTGTCATACCTTAGGAGATTAAAAAGAAATGTCATTAGTTCTCTGTTTTGTAAATACGGACTTCTTTTCTTTTTTACTATAATATCTGATCCATCTGCTTTCTATTTTTATATTGTAATTACAAGTACCTCTTCCATAGCGCCACTCTTCCTCTGAAATTCCTCATCTTTAAGAAGAAATCACCCACAGCTAAAACGGCCTCCCTGACTCCCACCTGTGACTGCCTATACTATTTGCTAAGTTTAATTAAATGGAGAATAGGGCCAGAGGTTTGGCAGCTCCTGTAAAAGTATGAACAATGAGTTGAGTTCCTCAGCATTTCATTTTTTTGTTTTTTGAGATGGACTCTCACTTTGCTACCCAGGCTGGAGTGCAGTGGCACAATCTTGGCTCACTGCAACCTCCACCTCCACCTCCCAGGTTCAAGCGATTCTCCTGCCTCAGCCTCCCAAGTAGCTGGGACTACAGGCATGCACCACCACGACCAGCTAATTTTTGTATTTTTTAAGTAGAGAGAGGGTTTCACCATGTTGGTCAGGTTGGTCTTGAACTCCTGACCCCAGGTGATCCACCCACCTCAGCCTCCCAAAGCGCTGGGATTACAGGCATCAGCCACCACACCCAGCAAGTTCCTCAGCATTTCCATACCCTCTCGTAGCTTGACTTCCCGTGCTATACGGGCCAAAAGATGAACTCTACACTTCTCAAACTCCCTTGCAGTGAAGGCCTGTATGAAATCTAGCTTCTGCCAAGCTAACATGACCACACAAAACTCAAAGGTAGAAGTGAACAAGGCGAGAAGATCAAGTCTCCTGGAAAGCAGAAACCTCCAATTCTTCTTGGTCAGCTGTGGCAGAGTTTCTGAAGCTCAGTTCCTAGAGTTGTAGGTTCCAAGTGACAGGAGGCAATGCCAGGAGTGTTTTGCTCAAAAAACTTTTTTGTTAGACTTAGCAAATTTCTTAGGGCTGCTCTACTCCTAGCTGTTGTAGCAACCATTTGGGCATAGTTCTCTAGCCACCTTTACTACCTAGTATCTGCTTGAAACAATTAGAGTGAATCCTGCTGCATAAAGTAACTGGTAACAGAAGTACTTCAGGTGAGGGAAAGAGAAATCTGAGATTGGTTGTCTGACTTGGTTGGGTTTGAAAGCACTGAGGACCTGGTTACTACTGGGAGGGGGCACAGTGATGGAGGTTGCCTAAACGTTTACTGGCAGTCACCAGAATACAGTCACTGGGACCACCAGGATGCTTAATGAAGACAAGGTTTTACAGACCAGGTGGCCACCATTATAGAACAGAATGGAGGAACGTAAGCCGAACTACTTCTAATGGTACTGGAGCATTTAAATAAAGAAAAGGATAACATCAAGGTTCTAAGTTCTTGTTTAAGGCCTGATCAGAGACCAAGGAATTGCTATAATTACCCTAAAGACATTTTATCTATTGTCAGCCATAGCCAAAACTTTTTTTGTCTGACATAGCCAAAACTGAGGTATAAAGTCTGATTCCATGAGTCTCTGAATTATAACAGATGAATTTACATTCATATTAGGTCTCTTATGTGAAACTTTGGATTGCTTGGTACACTGTCAACCCCACCCTTGACTAGAATAGAGATATGTGGGAGGATTTAGCTGCAAGGAGTATCTGAATTGCCAAGCTATACTGCAGTACTTCAGCTTAACCGGCCCCTCCTCTTCTATACGTTGAAGCTGTAACTTTCTTTAAGAGTCCATAACAATCTCAGTTCACATAAATAACTTGCAATGAGTGCCAATTCTTCTTATCCTTCTCTTTTACCACCATTCATTGCCTCAAGGCTTACAACTACAGTCATATTCCAGCATTCACTAGATTATAAAATTAAACCAAAGAGAGAAAGACATAAACACAGTTGTATCCTTTTTCTAATTTAGAACATCAAAAACATAGATAACATGTGTTGTAACAGACTCTAAGGTTTCTAGACAAAAAGAGAGGGTAAATATTTCCAGATCAGGTTGGATAATCAACATGGCTGCATTTGTCAGTGATTGTGTCTTAAACAGTTTGCGCTTACTCCATTTGTTCACTTGCTTTTCTGAAACCTAGACTCCAAGGTGGTTCAGATGCCAGAAATGTCTTGATACAATATATAAGAAAGAACCAAAAGACTTAAAGAAATATCTAGGTTGAGACATATTTTCATGTGCAGTCTGCTTACCCAGTTCCTAAGTATATCTACCAAGAGGGCCTACAGGACACTCATTGAACCTTGACATTACATAATGTACTGGCAAGGGATAAGTAACAACACTTTTTTAACAGGGTGGGGGCTCTCCTTTGTAGGTCAGTAATGAAGGTAAGTAGTGAAGATTTATCTGCTTACTTAGGAAGGAAGCTTTAAATAATCAGTTTATTAAGATTGCCTGTTTTCTAGATATTGGTTTGTTCTCTTCATTTAGCTATGTTTAGTTGGCTTATGAAACACGTGACTGTAGGTATAGGGTTATATATGGGCTCAACGTGGATTTTTCTCCACCACAGCTAAACTATCTTCTGCTATTACTAAGTTTCTAATCTACAAGCAGCAGAAAAATCAATGTTGAGCCTTTAATAGAGCAACCTGACCATAAAATAACTAGGCAGTCATCGGGTAAGTTCACTTACATTAGATCCTTTCATCTTTTCATCACAGAGGGGATAGTTATTGTCCTCACAGATGTTTGTTTTGGATATGGATTTGACCATCCTGCTGCAATTGCTTCTTTATGTAGTAATTTATATGTGTCAAATGAATGCCTTATTCACCAACATGGTCCACTATATACATCACTGCTTCTAATCAAGAGGATAAATGTACTGAAAAATATGCATAAGGCAATGGTCACATGCCCATAGAATTCACTGGTTTCACTATCTACTCCACCCCTAAATAGTAAACCTGATAAAAATAATTGTGGAATGCCTTATTAAAGACTTCAGCCAGGCACAGTGGCTCATGCCTGTAATTCCAGCACTTTGGGAGGCCAAGGTGGGCAGATCAAGAGGTCAAGAGATCGAGACCATCCTGGCCAACATGGTGAAACCCCGTCTATACTAAAAATACAAAAATTAGCTGCGCATGGTGTCATGCACCTGTAGTCCCAGCTATTTGGGAGGCTGAGGCAGGAGAATCACTTGAGCCCAGGAGGCAGAGGTTACAGTGAGCTGAGATCGTGCCACTGCACTCTATCCTGGTAACATAGGAAGACTCCATCTCACACACACCTAAAAAAAACACTTCATTACAGTACTGGCTGGGAGATACTTTGGAGATATATATATCCAAAATATATATCCTATATATATGTGTGTATATATATATATATATATGTGTGTGTGTGTGTGTGTGTATATATATATATCCAAAAGTTGTATATGTATCCAAAAGTTATATATGTGTGTGTATATATATGTATATATATCCAAAAGGTATACATGTGTGTATATATCCAAAGGGGCGTATGTATGTGTGTGTGTGTATACAAAATATTTGAAAGCAAGTAGTCAAAGGTCAAAGAGATACTTGTATGCCAGTATTCATAGCAGCACTCACAATAACCCAAAGATGGAAACAGTTCAAGCATGCATCAGTGGATGAATGGATAAACAAAATGTGGTATATGCCTGGAATGGAATATTATTCAGTTTTAAAAAGGAGTGAAATTCTGATCCATGCTACAACATAAATGAACCTTGAAGACCTTATGCTAAGTAAAATAAACCACATACAAAAGGGCAAATGTTGTACAACTTCACTTAAATGAATAATCCAAAATATGCAAATTCATAGAGACAGAAAGTAGAATAGAAGTTACCAGAGACTAGTCTGGGGAGAGGTGGAATGAGGGAGATATTGCTTAATAAGTGCAAAATTTCTGTTTTATATGATGAAAAAGTTCTAGAAATAGATAATGGTAATGGTTCCAGAACATTGTGAATATGCTTAATGTTACTAAATCATACACTTACAAATGGCAAATATGGTCTATTTTATGTTGTATATATTTTACCACAATTAAAAAATAAATAAATCCCCCTAGAAACCGTAGCAACCTCGTACAAGTAGGGTTGCCAAGGTTCAGACCTCTCGGGCACAAAAATGATTATTGTTTCATCAGGAAAAGAACTCAGGCCAGTGGAGATGCTGAATGAAGCCATAGTAAACATTGAATGAGTAAAGGAGGAAACTATAAATGTCCATCATAAACTTGTGATAAAAAAGAAGAGGCTGGTTGGTTACAGCTGCTCATCATTTTCTTCCTCATTTTTAAAATCAATTTTCATTATCTTAAAATGCTGGCGTTACTTTTATCATCTAATCCCTAGGATACAAGATAAGAAGCTGGGATTGTGACTAAATTGGAGGAGAAATGAACATCACTCAGAGATAGATACGGTGAGTAACTTTTTTACTCCCTTTTTAGGGAGAGGGTGAGAATATATTTGAAGGAGGAATCATTGCATTATGTTTGTCAGGCGCATGTTGCTCTTTCTGTTATTATTTGGATTTTCAGTATGAAAAGAACAAATGAATATTGAATGACATAGGGTTCAGCTGTGGCAGATATTGTAAGTTGTCTTATCCAATTTGCACCCATCCAAACCTTCTTCTAGCACAACATCCTCTATTATAAAGGTTGGAAAACTAAACGCAAAATTTTGAAGACTCCCTTTACCTACAGTTCTTCCAAACAGACACACCTACCTGAGGTTTAGATGTAGAAGTGAGCAGTGTTAGGTGGTGGCCATAGACAGGAGATCAGATCTTCTGGCAAGGACAGTGGCCGATCTGGTTCTTCTGGGTAGCTTCTAGCATCGAGTCCTGTTTCAGTTTTCCCCAGGAAGCAAACGCGGAGACGGAGGTCAGCATGGAGAATGTTTTTAACAAAGCACTCAGGATCAACACCTGTGGAGGAAGGGAAAGCAGTAGGATTGGGCAGAGAGCCAATTAGGATCACACTTTAGTCTCATCAAAGGCCTCAGCTGACCCCATAGGAAGCTATAAAACTGGGAGGGCCCTGGAGAATTTTCCGGAGTTGAAGCAAGAGGGCGAGGTACCTTCAGGTGGGGCAAAGGTAATTTCCAGATGGGACTGACAGTTGAGCAACACATCTGGCAGCACTTCTAGCAGATGGTGTAATAAGTCCTTCCAAACTGGCCAGGGGACCCAGGTAGCATATCACAACATCCACTAGAGTACACCCTTTGCATTGCTTAGATCCACAGGTTTGACATACATTCTGGAAGTAACTCCTCCAGGACTATGGTGGCCTCTTTTCCAGGGACAAAATTGTAAGAAGGTGGTTAGCGGTGCAAGCTGAAGTCCTCACCATTGAAGTTGGTCCTGTCATATCTCTCTTCTTCTACATATTCTAGATCTCTCTAAGCTTTAGGTAGCTCTTCTGGTTTGACTAAAGTGTCTGGTTGCATGGG